AATTAGGTCATCTTTTATCTCAATTCTTACTCAGCTCTTAGTCATTGAGTGGGCGGGCCCCAGACAAACTGAGACCTGGGAAAGACCTTAATTTAGAAAGGTCAAGGTTACCGCTGACTCCTTGGCCAGGGACAAGTCATCTTGACCTTTGTCTAGCCACTGGACTTCGATGCCTCTGGAGGAGAGAGCGAGGCTGAGGACTTTGCTCAGCTCTGCCTCACTTCAACACAATTCACAAGCAAGGCAAGACGTCACCTGCATGATATCATTGGTCCTCTTCCAAAAGGAAGGGCCAGCAGCAACAACAACTTAGCATTGTGTCCTTGGAGATAATAAGCAAACAATCAATCAATCAGCATTTAATCCAGGACTCTTTTCTGTTTAAAGGGGCAGAGAGCTCTGCCCTCCCCATCCCCCACCAAGAGCTAAGGCATATATTGTACTTCTCACTTTCTCCTTTACCCCCAGTTTTTTTTTGTTGTCGTTATTTTGGTTTTTTGTGAGGAAATTGGGGTTAAGTGACTCGCCCAGAGTCACACAGCTGGTGAGTGTTAGATGGCTGAGGCCACATTTGAATTCAGGTCCTCCTGATTCCAGGGCCAGTGCTCTATCTACTGTGCCGCCTACCTGCCCCACGGCTCCAGTTTTTTAAGCAAAGGTTAGGCCCTCTGAGGAGCATAGGAGAGATTTCTTGGTAGACTGGCTGAATCCTAGCGGATGCTGGAGTCCTGAGATGGACACCTTAGGTTCCAAGTGCAGCATCTAAGCAGATGGTGGTGAGATAGGTTGGTTAGCTGGTGTATTTGTACCAGTCCCTGGCACATGCTAGGGTTCCCCTTGTAGAATATAAACTCCTTGAGGGCAAGAACTGTCTCACTGATAATACAGGTTATGTACAAAAATATACACAGTAATCGGGAGTCACTGGGAAAATCTAGAAAAGGCCTTTTGAAGGAGGTAGGATTTGAGTTAAACCTCAAAGAGACCTAGGGATTTCAAGAGAGCAGAGGTGAAGAGGGAGAGCACTTACAGGCCTATGGAGAGCCCATGCAAAGGCACAGAGGTGGGAGAAAAATATACTTAATAGCTTCTCCTTTGGATGGCTCCATCATGTAACCAGGAATTGCAAAATCCTGCAGGATCAAAAAGACTGGGGCATCTAGGTGTTGCAGTGGATAGAGCACTGGGCCTGGAATCAGAAGGACCTGAGTTCAAATTCAGCCTCAGATACTTACTAGCTGTGTGACACTGGGCAAGTCACTTAACACTGATTGCCTCAAAAAAAAATTACAAAAACCTTGGTACTCATACTTCTTTCTATCAGTACCCTCCACCCCTTGCACCTCTCTGGAATGCAGAGCACAGTTGCTGTTCAATGTCTTTCTTAACTCCAAATTCAGCTTTCCTTCCATCAGAACACCCTGCTTCAATCTCCTCATCTACTTGTTCCATAGTTGCAGTGATGTCTGAGTCTTCATGATCCCATTTGGGGTTTTCTTGGCATAGATACTGGAGAGGTTTGCCATTTCCTTCTCAAACTCATTTTACAGATGGAGAGACTGAGGCAAACAAGGTTAAGTGACTTGCCCAAGGTCACACAGCTGGTAAGTGTCTGAGGCTAGATTCAAACTTAGGTCTTCCTGATTCCAGGCCCAGCGCTCTATGCCCTGAAACACCTAGCTGTGCCTCAAAGTAGAGAACTCCTTCCAAAACCTCCATTTAAGGAAGATGTCCAGGCCAGCCATCTTTCCATTTTCCATCCCACTGTATTCCTTTCTTTTCCATGGTACTCTGCCCCCTTTTCAGCTTTCTTGCATGTATTGATTTCCCTTATTAGATTATAAACTTCTTGAGGGTAGGCACTGTCTTTCTTTTTCTTATTTATATCCCCAGTACTTAACACTGTGCCTAGCACTTAAGCTTAATAAATGCTAATTGACTGATTGAATGAAGGTCAGTTTGCCCAGACCAGAGGTTCTCAAACTTATTTGGCCTACAGCTCCCTTAAAAAAAAAAAATTACACAGCACACCCCACCCCCAATCTAACTTCTTTAACCTTTTAAGCATTCTTTTAAAAAATTTGCATCATTTCAAAAAATATTTTTAAATGACACATGTTAAATTTAGTAATTTATGGTAAATTCGTGGCTTTTTTCCTGCATTGAAATTTTGATGGTGCAATATTGCTTCATGTAACCATGTAGTATTGTATTATAAACAAGTCATTACACGAACATATTCCTGCTGATGAACACTGGACTTCCCGACAATGTGTGACACACTCACCTGCCAACACTTGCTTGTTAAGACCTGTGGTCAGACTTGACCACTGATTGGTTATAACTTGTATTTTGTGTGTTTATTTGGAAAATAATGTAATCACTAGTACTTGAAACACATATGAACAGTTTTTCAAAATGTTCTCCTTTATGCTTCCACTGCCCCCTTATTTTTATTCAACACCTCCCAATTGCACCTGAGACTACTATGGCGACCCCTTCCTCATCATTTCAGTGCCCCCCAGGAGGCAGTATCAACCCATTTTGAGAACCTATTGCTTAGTGGAGAAAGTTTACTGTATCTACCACAGAGGAATCAAAATATGGCCCACAACAGTCTCTACTGAGACAGGAACCAGTTAAAATATAATTGAAAAATATTTAACAAAATGAATAAAAACACAATAAAACCATAATATTAACATGATTTTCTACATCCACATGCTACCCACAGGGATTCTTCTCTATGGCTTAAGAGACCACCCAATCTATTTGAATTTGACCCCCACTGCTCCTATGATAATGCCCCCCACTGATGGCTGAACCTAGGTCCAAACAGTTAGTCAATAAGCATGTATTAAGTGTGCCGGGCACTGTGGTAAGCCACAGAATTACAAAGAAAAAGCAAAAATAATTCCAGCCTGCAGTTCCTCCGTTACATAGTAAACTCCTCGAGGACAGGGACTGTCTCTTGCCTCCTTCTGTATCCTCAGTGCTTGGCTTAGTGCCTAGCACGTAGGGATTTGATAATGTTTAATGATATCGATCCTGAAATAATAACAATTCCAGCCTTCAGAGAGCTTACTTTTTCACAAGGGAGAGGACGTGTACGTATCAAACATACCAGGCAACCTGGGCCCCCAGCAGAAGGCATTTGAGCCAAATCTTGGAAAAAACCAGGGGTCCTAAGAGACAGAGGAGAGCATCCCAGGCTTGGGCAAGAGCCAGCCTAAGGACATAGAGAAGGGAGATGGGGAATGAGAGGCCAGTGCGGCTGGACCCCAACATCCATAGATGGGGGAAGTGGAAGACTGGAAAGCTAGGGAAGAGCCAGGATGGGAAACAGAGGTGTTTATATTTGATCCTAGAGGTAAGAGGGAGACAGCTCTATCTCTCCCCCTGGCTTCAGGCTCAGTGTTCAGCTAGGAGTCCATAAAAGAGCCCTGATAGTGGGCACCTCTCCTAGTCTACTAGGCAGCCACACCTGTGATCCACAGGAGAAAGGGAGGCCTGCTTTTCTGATTTGCTTCAAATAATCACCCATTCAGGGGAATAAAGATCTCCCTGGGAAATAGAGATTAAAGTCAGGATTATCTCCAAGTTATCTCTCTTTGTACACAGTTATTTACACATTAGTTCCACCTGTAAATCCTTTGATTCACTCAAAGGTGAGTCCTTTGAGAGAAACTTCTTTCCCCACAATCCTGCCACCACCCAGGTGGGACCTTCCTCACCTCACACCTGGACATTTGCAATAACCTGCTATTTACTCTCCTGGTCCAAGTCTCTGTACACTCTGGCCTGTGCTTCGTTCATCAGACAAAATGATTTTCCTAAAGCACAGGTTGGGCTAGTCACCTCTTCACCCACCTCACTCATTATCACCTCCAGGATTAAATACTAAATCCTTTGTTTGGCATTCAGATCCCTTCAAAACCTAGCCCACCCCCTCCCCTCTCCCTCATCCCTTTCCAGTCTTCTTAAACCTTACATCCCACTTTGAAGACTTCCATCCAGTGACACTTGCCTCCTTGAAGTTACTCACAACCAGAGGTAGACTGAGTCAGTCATTCCACAAACATTTATTAGGCTCCTACTGTGGTCCAGGCGTCATACTAAGTACTAGAGATACAAAGAAAGGGTATATGCCCTGGCTAACATGGGCAGTCCTTGGCAACAGATTGGATATGAGAGGTGAGAGATAGAGTTGAGGATGATACCCAGGTTGAAAGCCTGGGTAACTGGGAGGATGGATCTCAATCTCTCTTAATTCTGGTGCCTTCCCTGTGTTAATTATATCCTATTCATCCTATATATAGTTTATACTTTTTATTTGCTTTTTATGTCCCTCAATAGAATTTTATGGGTTTTTTTGAAGGGGTTAAGCGACTTGCCCATAGTCTAAGTTAAGTTAAGTGTCTAAGGCTGAATTAGAACTCGGGTCTTCAGGATTCCAGATTCCAGGCTCAGTGTTCTATCTGCTGTATCTACTGTGGCACATAGCAGCAGCCTCTAGGCTTTTAAGAGCTTACTAGGTGCCAAGCACTGTACTAGATAAGGTTGCAAAAAAAAAAGGCAAAAATAAGGTCCTTGGCTCTGGGAACTTACATTCTAACTGTAGAGACAACAGTAAATTACTAGGTAATGTTCAGTATCACTTGGGGGTGGAGGTGGGAGGGAGCAGAGCCAGATACCAGGATACCTGTAACAGAAGGCCAGTGGGATACCCTGCTGCCCCAGTCCAGGAGCTGATCCCTTCAAGAAGGATACCGCAGAAGAGCAGAGAAATGGATGATTTAACAGATTGGCTGGAAGCTTCTTTTGACACACATTGGCCCAGGGCCTCTAGCCAAGTCATTGAACTTCCACAGTTCTCTAGCCCAGAGGTGCCACATACTAGACCCCACAACACTGCCAGTAAAGCCTGAACCAGATTCAAATGTCATTGAGAATTATCGGTCAAAACAAATGGAAATACAGTAAAACATAGATCAAATTACCTTTTAAAAAGAAGTCAAGATGCTGCCCCAGGGATCCTCATGAACTCCATTCATTTTTGAGTTTGACACTCTCATTAAGAAAAGCCTCATCTGTGGGTGAACCATATCAAAGAAAACATGAAAAGAGTCCCTTTCTATAAACAGAGAAATCCCTCTACCCTGGCTCCTTCCCCTCTTACTTTTAACCAGCATATGATTGCCCAAAAGATGACTACCAAGAGGACATCAGTAGTCGCTTAACCTCTCTCTGCCTCAGTTTCCTCAACTGTCAAATTAGCATAATAATAGCACCTACCTCCCAAGGTTGTAATGAGGATCAAATGAAATAGCATTTGTAAGGCACTTATCACGTTGCCTGGCACATAGTATGCACTTAATAAATGCTGATTTCTCCTTCTCCCCTCTCTTCTTCCCTCCCTTCTTTTCTCCCTCCTTTCCTTCCTTCCTTTTTTCCTTCCCTCCTCTCTCCCTTTCTTCCCTTCTTTCTTTTCTTTCCTTCTTTCCTTCCCTCTTTCCTCCCTGCCTCACTATTTTCCTTCCTTCTTTCTCTCCCCCCCCTCAAAAAAAAAAAACTCCTTCCATTCTTCCTCTGTTACAGTTGAGGGCCCCATAATCCTCCCAGTCACCCAGGCTAATAACCTTGGTGTCATTCTGGATTCCTCACTCCCATTCCCTCTACATATATAATCTAATGTCAAGTTTCATCATTTCTACCAACCCAAAATCTCTCCCCAAAGTCCCTTTCTTTCATCCACTCACATAGCCACCACAGTGGGTCCAAGCTCTCCTCACCTCATGACTGTATTATTGCAATAGTCTTTTTTCTTTAATGTAATTTTGTTTTTTTCAATGAACAAAAAACCACTTCAGGTGCTTGGATAGAGCACCAGGACCGGAGTCAGGAAGACTCATCTTCCTGAATTCAAATCTGGCCTCAGACACTTACTAGTTGTGTGACGCTGGGCAAGTCACTTCACCCTGTTTACCTTAGTTTCCTGGTCTATAAAACAAGTTGGAGAAGGAAATGGCAAATCACTCCATTATCTCCGCCAACAAAACCCCAAAAGGGGTCAGGAAGAATCAGATATAACTGAACAAAAACATTAGCACCTACTTCCCAGAGCTGTTGTGAAAATCAAATGAGATATTTAAAAAGCACTTAGCTAAATGCCTGGTACATGGTGGGTGCTGTATAAATGCTAGCCATTATTTATTTAGATGTGGACTATTCAGCAATGTATTAAGGGGTCCTCCCAGTCCCTCAGGCTGGTACCTTAGGCGTCCTCTTGGACTCTTCACTATCCTAGCTGCTGCCATCTCTCCAATACGCACCCTTCTCTCCTCTGACGCTGCCACTCCCCTGGTGCAGGTCCCATCCCCTCAAATCTGGAGTACTGAAATAGCTGCTGGGGGGGAGGGGGGTCTGCCTGCCTCAAGCCTCTCTCCACTCCTATCCATTCTCCATTCAGCCACTAAAGTGCTTTCCCAAAACCACAAGTTTGATCACATTACCTCCCACCTCAATAAATTCCACTGGCTCCCTATCACCTCCAGGATGAGATTTTAGTTTCGTTTTTGGGTTTTTGTTTGTTTGTTTGTTTTTAGGCAATTGGGGTTAAGTGACTTGCCCAGGGTCACACAGCTAGTAAGTGTCAAGTGTTTGGTCTGAGGTTAGATTTGAACTCAGGTCCTCCTGACTTTAAGGCTGGTGCTCTATCCACTGTGCCATCTAGCTGCCCCCAGGATGAGATTTTTAAAATGCTTTGTTTGGCATTCAAAGCCCTTCACAGCCTAATCCCCTTTTCCCTTTCCAGTCTCCTCATACCTCACTCCCTGACACACAGTCTTTGGTCCAGCTCTTCCATGAACAAGACCCTCCATCTCTCCCATGAACAAGACCCTCCATCTCTCCCCTCCAGACACTGTCTCTGATTGTCCCCCATACTTAGAACGCTCTCCCTACTCCACTCCACCTACGGACCCCCCTGGCTTCCTTTAAGACCCAACTAAAATCCATCTTCTACAGGAGGACTTCCACAGCCCCTCCTTTTCTAGAGCCTTCCCTCTACAAACTATTTGTTATTCGAGCCCTCCAAATCCAAACAGCAACAAAAGGCAACTGAGGCAGGTAACAAGGGGCTAAAGGTTTTAATAGATCTTGGGAACTCCTGAGGAGCTCTCAAGTGCTAGGGAGGTCTCTCCAGAATCGGGGAAACATCTATGATTGGATAATGGGGATGGGGACTCTTATCACTGGCTAAGGGCAAGTCCACCAACCTTTAGGCCTTTCTTAGCAGGTTTCTACTACAGGCTTCTTCTACCCACTAGCAGTCATTACCGACCAACATGTTAGCAGTATTCAGGGGCTTCCCAAAGGTCATAAGGCCCAGTCAGCAAGGCCTTGGGCCTTCTACTTGCTGGCAGTGTTCTAGGGCAAAGGCGTAAAATGCACGTTTATGACAAGTCATCTGTGGTTTTTCAAGCACAGAGCTCATAGTACACTCACAGGAGGTGGCAGTCATACAGCAGACCTCTGTCCCTACCCTCTAAAACAAATTAACATAGGCCTTACTAACACAGTATAGATCTATAAAGTATAAATCTATTCCCTAACCCAAATATAAGTAATATAATCATCAATACAAAGTGGGCAAATGAATTTTAACCCACGTAACTCTTATCCTAATAGTGTTAATCAAATCATGCTTAATGCTATCATACCTAACTGGCTTCCACAATCACTGATACCCATCAGTCACAATGAATAAATACTGATTGCCTCGAGTAGGAATGTCAAAATTATCTTCACACCTATTTATCATGTATATCACTTGTTTGTATGTATTTGTTTGCATGTTGTCTTCCTTAGTACATTATTAGCCCCTTAACAGCAAGGACCCTCAAATGTCTCTTCTTTGAACCCCCCTTATTTTCAATAGCAGTATTAAGGAATGTTAAGGGGTCTCCTTAAGAGTAGGCACTTAATAAATGTTTATTGATGGATTATTATTGATTGAAGGCTTTATTTTGAGAGGTTTCTTAATTTGGATAATTGAAGGATAGTGGGAGAGGCAGATTAATAAAGAAATTTATATATTTTCAAAATTATGTATTTTAAGATTATATATTTAAGTGTTTGTGGGGCAGCTAGGTGTTATAGTGGATAGAACATCTGACACTTCAAATCCAGCTTCAGACACTTACAGTCTGGACAAGGCATTTAATTTCTGTCTACCTCAGTTTCCCAATCTGTAAATGGGGATAACAGTAGCATCTACCTCTAAAGGTTGTAAGGGTCAAAACAAATAATATTTGTAAAGCACTTGGCACAGTGCTTGGCACATAGTAAGCACTAAATAAATGTTAGCTTTTATTACTATTAAAATCAATATTTATTATGCTAAACTTCTATTTCAAAACTATATTCTAGTTATTGATATTACTTTATTACATATTACAATAAGATATGTATTCTAAGAATTTCAAATATGAAATGTGTAAGAATATGCATTTCAAAATCATGTTATATATTTGCATCATCAAATTTACATATTTATAATATATAACCAAATCATATACTAAGTGCATTCTAAGAATTTTATATTTGCTCATTTCAGAATTATATATTATGTATTTGCATCATTAAGTGTTTCATTATGTTTATATATTTGCATTATAACTTAATAAAATTATACATTATATATATTCTAAGAATTGTGTACTTGGGCATTTCAACATTATATATTATATTCATACTATTCATTTTATCATGTACATGTATTTATATTGTACTATAAAATTATTATATACATCATATATGCATATGGAATGTACATATATGTATTCTAAGAATTGTATCTTTGCTTATTTCACATTTATTATAGATTCACATTATTATTTTATATTTGTTTATAATGTATAATAAAATTATGCATATGTATTCTAAGAATTGTGCATTTCACATTTATCTATTATAGATTCATATTATTGGTTACTTTATTGTATTTATGATATAATAAAATTACCATTATATATGTATTCTAAGAATTGCATACTTGAGTATTTCAAAATTATATTATTATGCTAGTTTTAATGTTGGTTATTTATACAACCATATGAGGTTCATATTCTAAGAATTATATATTTATATATTTTTAAAATGAGATCTACTTCTGTCCTAAAGGGCTAAAACTTAGCCTGGGGGCAAGAACCTGAATGTGCCCAGGCCAGCTGCGGGGGGGGGGGGGGGGGGGGGCGGAGGAGACTCAAGGGGAGGGGGGTGGAGTGGGAGTAACTGCCGCCCCGCCCCCGGCGCTTCCGCAGGCCCCGCCCCTCCCGCAGCGCGGCCCCACCCCCTCTCCAGTCTCCGCCCTCCCCGCAGCCTCCGCGGCCCGTCCGTCCGTCTGGGCCGTGGCTGGCTGCCGTCTGTCCGTAGTGCGGCTGCGCCGGGGCGGCCCAGGCTCTGGGGCCCGGGCGGGCAGTGACTCTTTGTCTCAGAGGCCGAGAGGCAGCGAAGGGAGCAGGAGCGGGAGCAGGAGCGGGAGCAGTAGCAGCAGCAGCAGCGGGAGCAGTAGCAGCAGCAGCAGCAGCAGCAACAGCAGCGGCGGAGGCCGAGCAGGAGCAGCGGCAGCAGCAGCAGGAGCAGCGGCAGCAGCAGCGCAGACAGGCTCGGAGCGCAGCAGCCCGCGGGGGACCCCAGCTGCCGCACATCTGGATCCTCGGAGCCCCGCCCAGCGGCGGCCCCAGCAGCAGCAGCAGCAGCAGCCCAGGCTCCGGCCCCGCGTCAGCCGGAGGAGGCCCGGCGGGGGGCCGCGCAGCGTTTGTGGGGCTCGGGGGAGGGTCTAGGGCTCCGGGAGGGCTGTGCGGGTGCCGGACCCGCCGACGAGAGGAGGCCTGAGCCGGGCCGAGGGTCTCCGGCCGCCCCTGCCAGACCTCGCCGCTCCGCCCGGTGCTGTGTACAAACAAGGACAGCGGGGGCTGGCGCCTCTTAAGGTGGACTTGACTGCTTAAGGTGGACTGGCCCCTGTGCAGGGGGGGCGGCGGGGGTGGTCCTTTTTCCCTCCCTATCCCCTATTTTTCATCTTTCCCCCCCTCTTGCATCAGACGCTCGCTGGATTCTGGCGCTGGGGCCGAACCGGGAGGACTTTGACCATTTCCCCACGGGGCTCGATCCTCGGGGTGCCCGGAGTTAAGAAGCCACAGAGAGAGAAGACCGGGAGCAGGAGGACAGACCCCAGCCCCCCAGCCCCCTTCCCATCCAGCTGCCAACAATGCCCCCCACCCATTTGTACTTAAGGGGAGAGCAGCCCATGGACCGGGAAGTGGGGGAAAGGAGCCACAGGCCCAGCGACCCCGAGTTCGTGGGAGCCCTCCGTGGGCCTGGCCAGCCCCGGGCTCATTCGTGAGCCTGCCCGTGCTGGAATCCGGCCCCTGGCTCCTGGCGCCCGCCGCCTGCTCCTGCGTCCAGCCCACGTCCACAGCCTTCTCTTCCTCGGACCCCCCACCAGCTGCGTGCCGGACGCCCCCAAGGGGATGGAGACAGTGGGGAAGTTTGAGTTCAGCAGGAAGGACCTCATTGGCCACGGCGCCTTCGCCGTGGTCTTTAAAGGGAGGCACAAAGAGGTGAGAAAGGGCGTGGGGGTGGGTTTGCTTTGGCCCCCTCCCCCTTCCTTCCCGGTTTCAGCCTTCGGCACCCCAGCCGGCCGGGGAGCCTGTGGTTGTACCCAGAGATGCCGAGTCAGCACATTTCCCCTGGAGTCGGCTTGGCCACGGTCCCCCTCCCCCTAGCATTCCCCCCTCCTCCATAAGGGTTTAGAAGAAAGCCAGAGGAGAGAGGGCTTTGACGTTGTGTTGGTTATCCTTATAGTGCGGGGGCCCGCAGCCCCAGTGAGTGAGGGGTAGCCATCTGTGCCCCAGCTCTAAGCTCAGTTTTCCCCTTGGGAAAGGGCACTGCCTCCCCCTTTCCAGACAATGGAGAACTTCTTTAAGAAGTAAAATTCTTCCCAGATTGGCTTTTTTTTTGGGGGGGGGTCGAGGTGGCTGTTGGTGGATCCAGGAGGAAACCTGGGCCAATGGGATCATGTTCTGACAAGTTTGGGCACCTGCCCCGATGGGGGCTGGGGGCCCGAGGCCCTTGACCAAGCTTGGAAATGTGTCTCTCTGTGGTTGGGGCCTGGTTTTCCAGAAATGGGGTAGGCCCTCCTGAGCCTGGGCTCCCTGAGAACGTGGGTCTTTGGGTTTCAGAAACATGATCTGGAGGTGGCAGTCAAGTGCATTAACAAGAAAAACCTGGCCAAGTCTCAGACCCTGTTGGGGAAGGAAATCAAAATCCTGAAGGTGAATGGAGGGGCTTGGGAGAATCTGGTGGCTTAGTTTGTGGGTGTATGTGTGTATCATATATGTATATCTGTGGGGGAGGCTAGTCGGGGTCCTGGTCCCAAGTTCTGCTCCATTGTGACCTAAAAAGAAGAAACACCTGGGTTCAAATAGCCCTACCACTGCCTACCTGTCTGTCCACTTGGCAAGTTAACTTCTGAACCTTCATCTGGAAAATGGGGCCAGTGCCTTCAGAGCTTTCTTTACGGGGTTGGTTATTCAGTCTGTCGGTAAACAATTTAATATTCTCCTATATTGACTGACTGAGGGTTTTTCCCTATCCAGCGCTTTGCATGCCTTAATTGTGCTATAGACATCTATTTATTATCATCATTTAATCTGTTTTTAACCTCTTCTCCTTTTCTAGGAATTGAAACATGAAAATATCGTGGCCTTGTATGATTTCCAGGTATTGATTTTGATTCTGTGGCTAGTCTTTTGTTTTTTTGAGTTGGGGGGGAGGGAAGCCTCTGGACCACATACTCTACCCTAAGGAGGGGGCAGGTCCAGGCCTGAGCTGATCTCTGCTGACTCCACAAGATGTTTTGGTGCCCACTTGGCCTTCCTGGAGCCTCCAGCTGCCGTGGGCAGCTGTTCCCTGGCACACTAGAGCCCGGGGTCTCTTGAGGACTTTCGGGTGCGTGTCTGGCCCCTTTTCCTGGTGCTAGTCAGGGGCCTGGCTGGGGGCCCTCAGATAGAGAAGGCCCTGAATGGGGCTTTTCTCCAAAGCCTCATGGGTGGAGGGGGGGGATGCTGAAAGGAGCTTCTATCAGCCCACCTGGACTGTTTCTTCTGGGTCTTTGAGGCTTGAGGGGCCCCGGCTGGGGGGGGGGCCTTTAAGAGAGCCTCAGCTGGGCTCTCTTCTGTTTGTTGACATTGCTCCTGGAGGCTGGCAAAGGTCCAGCCGCCTCTTTGCGTCAGAGTCTAAAGCGAGATTCCTTTATGGCCAGGCGTACCGGGATCAGGGGCTCTGCTCCTCCCTCCTGAGTGTCGTCTCCAGGGCTGTCCCTCAGAGGCCAGACTACTTTTCCCACGGTGCCCCTCACCCAAGGGCCAAGGGGGATGTAGCGGGAGGGCAGGGGCTCTTTGTGCCCAGGCCCCAGTTTTTTCTTTGGCTTGGCAGCTCAGGAACCTTGGACATGCTTGGGGGTGGGGGCAGAGGGGCAGGGGTCGGAGATTGGGGGGGTTTGGATCCTGCTGTCAGAGTTGGTACCCAGTCTAGGGATCCCAGAGAAGGGATTGGAGGCTTCGGTGTTTGTGTCAGTGACAGCTGGTCTTGCTGACTAATGGTTTTGAAACATGTTTACCCAGGACGGGAAGTTTCCGGTGCCCCAGGTTGGACTGGGCTGTGGTGGGGCGAGGCTGGGGGATGGGAGGAGGAGGCCTCCTTTTGTGCTGCTTTAACCGATAGGGGCAGCCCTGGTAAAGATCTCTGTCTGAGAAGGCTGGGTGGAGCTTAAGAGGAGAAGGGCCAGGGTCATGGGCTTGCAGATACCTGGAAAACTGGGGACAGAATACACCATGTCCCAGGCAGCCTCGAAGATGGGGAGGGACTTCCTGCCCACCCCCTCTTTCCTCCCTCTGCCCTGTGCGCAGCTCCTGTTTGCTCTTGGGGAGGGGGCTGGGGTGGCTCAGGCATCTCATAACAGGTGTGTAACAACACAAGACAGATTGAGGGGGAGGGGAAGGAAGGTTCTATATTAACCTTTTCTTCCCTGGCTTGCTGCTTTTTTCCTGTGAGGGAGAAGGAAGAGTTTGTATTAGACCTGGATCACTGAATAGAATCAGACTTACAACTGGAATGGGACCGTAGAGGCTATGTAGTTCCACTTGCTTATTTTACTGATGGGGAAACCGAGGTCCAAAGAGATCAGATTTTTTTTGGTCAAGGTCATACATGTAGCATGTGATACTTCCTCTCTCTGGCTTTGGGAAGCCCAGAATGATTGGGTTTTGGGGAAAATGGCCCCCTTGTTGTGGAATCACTGTCTTTAGTTACTTTTGAGGTGACTAGAATATTAGACAAAAATAAAAAATGAAAACAAAACTCTTGTATTCCCCATTACTTAGCTGGACCTGGAATTAGGGAGGCTTGGATTACATTCCCACTTCAGACACTGAACTACTTGTGAGACCATGGGCAAATCATTTCCGCTCTGGCCCTCAGTTTCCCTACCTGTAAAATGGGGAGATTACCTTTATCTACCTCTCTATGGGTTATTAGAAGACTCAAATGAGAAAATGCTAGACACATGTCCAATATTTATCGTTCCTCCTTTTCCAAACCCACTCCCTTGGCAGTAGCAAGGAGGGGGGGAGTCCAGAATCCTCTCTCTGGGTCAACCTGATTTTTCAGAGGGTAGGGAGTTGGAAGGGATTTGTGTTCAGTTTCAGCAATGTTTGACTCTCTCTGTGACTCCTTTTGGGGTTTTCTTGGCAGAGATCCTACAGCGGTTAGCCATATCCTTCTCCATCTCATTTTACAGATGAGGAAACTGAGGCAAACAGGGTGAAGTGTCACAGCTAGGAAGTGTCTGAGGCCAGATTTGATCTCAGTTTTCCAGGTCCAGAGTTATCTCAGCACTGCACCACCTAACCGCCCAGAGAGGGTTTTGATCATCACAATTCCTTTTTACACAAAAGGAAATCGAGGCTTTAAGGAAAGAGGAAGGGCCTTGGCTCAAGGTCAGAGAGGTAGTGTGTTTGGATTTTAAATCCAGTCTTGTCCCGCCTCCAGTCTTGTGACTTCCACACCTGGACATAAGACACCAGCCCTCCCTTCCTTCTGAGCCTGGGGAAGTACTTAAGAGAAACACAGGTCAGGCAGGTGCTCCTGCTTGTCCCCCCAAGAGGGGAGGCTAGCCCCTGGGTTACCCAGACTGACCCCACAGACACAGTGAGGAATGCCCAGGTTTCTGCTCCCATTTCTGGGCCTCCTCCCTCATCATCACCACCATCATCATCATTATCGTTGAGCCCCAGTGGTTCTGGATATTAGGTTGAACTATCATAATAGGTGTCATTTATATTTTATATATATGTATATATGTGTGTATATATATATATATATATATATATATATATATATATATATATATACACACACACATATATTATGTGACTCTTTAAGGTTTACAAAGCGTTTTCATCCCCCCCCCAAAAAAAAAACCTGAGAGGCTAGTGATTGTGATTTTTATTGAGCTAAGAGGTTAAGGTGAGTTGCCTAGGGTTACACAGAGAGCTAGCTAACAGGAGTGTGTTGGGATTTGAACTTACTCTCCCCAAATGCATTGTTCTCCATTATTTCTTGTTTGCTTAATTTAGCAAAAAAGGTTGATTTAGGGGCTGAGGCCCATCAGTACCCTCTGCCAGGGCAGTGTGGAGTAGAGGTGGTGGTGCCCTGGCCATAAGCTGGATATACAGTGGCTGTGGTGTGCCCAAGCTCCTGGGGGATTCTCAGTGGTGGCTGAATGAAGGCTCTGCCCACCCCTCTCCCCATCCCTGTTCCCATCTTTAGTACCTGGGTAGGTCTGTCCTCTGTAAGAACAGCTCCCTCTGGAGCCAGAGGCCCTGGGAGCTGGGGGATCCCCAGCTCTGACACCTTGAGGACTTGTATCTCCACCCCCAGGTAGGAGTGGGTGGGGTGGGCGGGAGCATAGGCTACCAGTGGACTAACCCCACCACAGGGACACAGCACCTGCCTAACCTGTTCTCCCAGCACCCTGGGAATTCCTCAAGATTGCAGTGACTCACAAGCCTTTTGCTGCATAGACTGGAATGAGAGAGGGGGTGTGTATGTGTGTGTGTGTGTGTGTGTGTGTGTGTGTGTGTGTGTATACATACACGTGTATGTACACACTTGGGGATTCTAATTTTTTGCTTTTCTTTTGAAGGCTGGAGGGGAAAGTGTGAGCTCTTCCTAACCCCATTTTCCTCTTCCTGTGTTTAAAGAAAAAAAAATAACTCATAGACTGATATCAGAGCTAGAAGCTTGTAGAGGGGATCTAAGTGCTTTCCCATCTCATTTTGGGTTAGGTTTGCAAAGGCTTTTTCCTGAGCTCTGGTTTGAATAGCCTTAGGACTGTTGGAGGGGTGTTCTGGTAGTCAAGTGGTAGCCCTGGGTAAGGGCCTGGCTTGAGGCCAAGCCAGAGGAACCCTGAGGGTGATGGGAGGTATGCCTTGGGGGCCTGTAGATTCCTGACTTGTAAGGTGAGGTGGAATCTGGGGGCTCTAGGGCAGCTTTTGTCTGAATACTCGCCCCTTTCCCCGTAGGGAGGAGGGGTTGAAAGTAATGCTTCCCTCATCCTCTCTACCACCAGTCTCCCCTACCCTGCCTTTCCCCCACTATGGAACATATCCCATCTCCCATCTTTGTGACCTTGGGGCAAGTTTCTCTGGGCCTTGGTTCCCTCCTGTCTATAAAATGAGCCAGTTGGACCTTCCAGAGCTCTCTTCCAGCTCTACACCTGTGATCCTTATTTTGAGAGACAGTGTGGTTAAAGTATGTGCCTGGGAATCAGGAAGATCTGAGTTCAAATTATGCTTCAGACACTTTGTGACCTTGAGCAAGTCACTTAACCTTGGAATCTACCTCATAGGGCCCCTTGTAAGGAGCAAAAATAAGTAATGTGGAAACCCTAAAGAGCTTTATAAATATGAACTGCCATTATTATTATTAACATTGTTGCTCACAGGCAGGCGGGCAGAGGCAATAAGGCTGAAAAAAGGTTGGTGCCTGGTTATGAAAAGTTTTTAAATTTCAAGTTATGTCAGTTCCCAGTAGACAGCTCTTTGTTCAGTTGTTTTTCAGTTGTGTCTGACTCTTAGTGACCCCATTTGGGGATTTCTTAGCAAAGATACTAGAGTGGTTTGCCATTTCCTTCTCCAGCCCATTATACAGATGAGGAAACTGAGGCGAACAGGGTTAAGTGACTTGCCCAGGGTCACGCGTCTAGGAAGTATCTGAGGCTGGATTTTAGGTAGGGTCTTCCTGACTCTAGGCCCCAGTGCTCTATATCCCCTGAGCCACCTCGCTGCCCTTAAATTCCAAACAGTTCATATTTGATCCCAGAAGGGAATCACTATCTGGAGTGGATAAAGTGTCATGGCCATACCACTGCCCCCATAACCCAGCATGCACATCTGCACGTGTTGTGGGTCTATGTGCAGGCCCTAGACTGACACAGCAGCCCCCTGGAGCCAAGAGCTGATGTGAGCTCCCTGAGAGGAGGGACTAAGGCTTATTTTTTCTGGTGTAGGGGACAGGTTGGCAGGGACCCTCAGAATTGGGAGTATTGGGTCTTTTTAGAAAACAGCTGAATTGGGGCTAGCCTTGGGACCTAGACTGTGCTTCCTAGGGGGTAATGGCTACTAGTCCTTGTCTGAGGCTTGGCTGAGGTGGGGCCCTAG